AAATGTGAAAAAGCAGTGATATGTGGCCCTAGTTGCTCCAGTGCTTGGTCTCCATGGTAAACCAAAGACACTGACTGGCTCCTTATCTGTTTCTGCCAACATTGTTGGTCCTCTTGTAGACTATTAGCCTTTCCACATCGAAGCCTTGAGAAAACCTGAACTCAGAAGATTATAGTAAAAACCAAGAGGTCCAATAGGGACTTCAGTTGGTATGAATAGTGTGGTAATCTTCCAGCAATCTCACTATCAGGCTTCCTGCCCCTGCCCCTAATGACTGAAGAAAAGTGGAGCTCTGTCCTTTCTTGCATTAATTACAACTTACTGTCTACCTTTTATAAGCCAGGAATCTAGGCCTCAGAGTATTAAATGGCAGGGCACAAGCAAAGTTTTAAAGTATAAACAGGGAATTCAGCTGACTACTTAGGATGAAAGTATTGACAAACGCACTTCAATACTTTCATCCTAAAGTGGTGAGACACAAGTATGAAATATCTGCTCTAGAGGATAGGAATGGAGTTTTAAAGTATAGTGTAAATAATTAATTTGGAATATAGAAGACTTTAGAATAGTGGAAAGACTATTGAAATCCACTATCTTCAAAACACAATATAGAATTAAGGAAAAGGAAGAAGAATAAGTGTTTATTAATCACACTCATGTGTTTAATGCTACATTAGGTACTTTACATATACTCTTTTAGACTTCATAACAACCTTTAAGGTGACTAGGGATAGATGATAGTGATAGAGTGAGGTTCAGAAAAACTAAAGATTTGTCCAAGCTTACCCATGTAGTAGGTAGCAGAGTCGAGATCCAAAGTTAGGTCTGGTAATATTTCCAAACATGCTTCTTGCCTTCATTTTATCTCTATGAATCTCACTTTCCTCATTTGTATAAGATTAGATTAAATCAAATCTGATCATTCTAAGCTTTTTCTGGGACTGATCACAGAATCCTTTGGATATTCAATAATACTTAGAGATTTCTTTAGAAAATTGATTTTGCCTCCAAATGTTACATTTAGGATACAAGTTCACAGGCCCAATACCCCTACACAGCTGATTCAGGACTTTGAGTTTCCTCTACACTGACATTCTGTGAGACTCAACATCCACAGGAGCCAATACAGTACAGAGGTCAAGATCTGGATGAATCCAAATTCTGTCTCTTTGTTTCCTCTTTAAACTTGAGCAAGTTACCTAATGTTCATGTAACTCAATTTCTCCTCTGTAAAACTAGAATAATAATATTACTTACTCACAGATTATTATTAAGATTAAATTTATTTACATCCTTTACAATGGCACCAGGAATATATTAAATGTTCGTTGAATATCAGTTGGGGCTTTCCTTTGAATTTTGCATTCTCCTTTTCCCTATTTGGCATAGCTAAGGGATCTCAAGGAGGCAGCTGAGTTTCTGTTTCCTGAGAGTAAGATCCTTTTACTGGCAGGAAGAACACCAGAGGCCACCATCAGGCCAAACTCCACAAACAAACATGCAAACAAGAAAGAGCCCATCTGAGCAGCGCCTAGCATTGCTCACTCAAAAGAAACTGAAGCAACGGATAATTAAACATTGCCTTCTTATTTCCCTACCAGGCCCCTGCTCAAACCATCACACACAAACACACACCCCCCTCAGGCCTGAAACCAGTTCCACATTCTTATTAACAAATGAAACCATTTAAGTCCTCAGCACATCTCCAGGGACATAAATGATGAGAACTGAGAGAAACAAGAATGATTCTCCAATTTGGAAATGTGCMAAGATTACATAATATGTATCAGCACTGATGGAAGACAGGGGGTAGGGATAAAGAGTCAACTTGGTGCAAAAGGGTACACAAGTATCCCCAGTGCTTTGGTTTCTTTGCAAGGCTGAGTTGTTCCTGAAGGATTTCTAGCTCCAATGTTCCTGAGCACAATAATACGACTTAAGTTTCTGATATGAACTCTATATTTTTCTGTTAGACTTACTCTATTTTTTTTTATCTCAGATTGTCCCTCAATCTTAATTACCTATCACTTCCTAAATGTACATTGAAAATTGCAGAAAGGAAACCATGAGGTTGCAGTAATGTATAGGATTTTTCAGAGAAAAAAAAATAGTTTATTTGTTCAAATCACTCCCTTAGGGGCCTGGTAGTGTGATGAAATGAACCTGGGACTGGAAGATAGGTAGCCTGGGTCCTTGCCCCCACATTAGCATTAGATAATTCTGCAATCATGAACAAATCACTCATCGGCTCTGACTCCCATTTTCCCCATCTGTAAAATGAGAAAGAGAAACTTAGATGTCTCTAAGGTTCACTACGATAAGAGTGGTCTAGGGTTCTAGTTGCCCATATGCTAAAAACTCACTGGAGTGTGGAACTGAGACTAGAACAAACAGCACAGTGGTGAACATGCTTGATGTGCAATTTGCAGCCAGGAGAACAGCTCGGCCTCTTCAGTTCTCAAACCCTGACTATCTTTACCACTCTTTTCACACTCTTTTCAATTTAGAAACATTTTGGACACAGGATATGTGGGATGGGGAACACCACCGACTCCCACCCCAATCTCTGAACTGGTAGCAAGTTGCCTGGGTTTTTTTTTTTTTTTTTGGGGGGGGGGGGGGGGGGGGAGGCAGGGAGTGTGGTATGAAATCGGCGTCCCAGCACTACCCTACTCTGGCTCTGTGCCCTGGGTCCTAAATGTGAACGTCTGGCTTCCCTATTGGGGAGAAAGGATGTTTCTTCCTTTCCCAAGCACAAGCAGGTGTCACAGGCCAAGTTGGGAGATGAAGGCCAGCTGTCTCTGTGCTCTTTACACAAAGCAGCTCTCTACTTGGCTGGCTGGGTCCCTGCAACTTCAGAGTCCTGGGCTTGATTTTTAAGATAATCCAATACTTCTCCTCATTCTCCTGCCTCGAAGAACATAAGGACCAGGATGTCCCTTTAACCATTGACACCCCCTGGAGGGAGGAAGTCCTTGTTAGCTAGACAAATAACTTCTAATGGCCCGGTATATTCTTGTACCTGGTTGTCGAGACTGAAGGCTTTCCTGTCTTGTAGATTTTCCCTTAGTTCATGATCAAGTCCAGCATCCCAGGCCCAAGTTGGAATTGAAGGGAAAGTTGACTCAAGGATGATGCAATTAAATAGGGAAGCAGCCCCTCTGGGTCTTTCACTCATCATCCTCCACCAGGCAGCCCCACCTATACCTCTCACACACATAGAATTTCCACGTGAGGAGAGGCAAGCAAGCATTTTCACAAACGTACCCTTATGCTATGCAAGGGACAAAATGAAAGTGCCCTCAAGAATTTAATACAGCTACACAGAACATTCGAGTTCTATATACTATATGGGATGGTAAAATGGTTAAAACACTTTGGAAAGCTCTTTGGCATTATGCAAGGTCATTATGCAAGATCACATGCTACGTATGACCCAGAAATTCTACTTCTAGATAGAAACCCAAGAAAACTGAGTGTATATCTCCACCACAAATTCTATATAAAAATCATGTTAGGAGCTTTATTCATAATGAGCCTAAATTATAAATATCCAAATTCCCATCTACAATACACTGGCTAAATGAATTATTCAAAGAAATATTATACAACAATGAGAATGAGTAGTCCCACAAAAGCATGCAAAAATAGGATGAATATTGTAAACAAAATGTTGAGTAAAAGAAGCCAGATATAGTGTATTTATGCATCATATGATTCCATTTATCTAAAGTTCAAAACAGGTAAAACTAATCTATGTTGCTAGAAAGCAGGATAAGGTTAACCTTTGGGTCAAAATTGAGGGAAGAAAAGACTAGAAAAGAGTATGAAGAAGGTCTTGAATCTGCTGATAAAGTTCTGTTTCTTGATCTGGGTACTATTTAGTTGAGTGTGTTTGGCATGTGAAATTTACCCAATTGAATACTTAAGATACATATACCTTTCTGTTTATGTTTGTGGAAGAATGAAAATAAATGACTCCAATTCTTCACCTACCCCAGAGATCAGTTCTTCACCCAGGACATATATTGTGCTTTCCTACTCTGACTCTAGGCATGACCATGTGACTTATTTTGGCCGATGAGGTCTCAACAAAAGTGTTTTAAGCAGCGGCTTGAAAAACTTCTTGCACATTCCTGCTTGTTATTTTTGTTGTGCAATTTCCACGAAAAGATCTAGGCTAGTATTCTGCAAGATGAAGCAGATCTCAGCCAAGTTGCTCCTACTCATTAGTGCCAAAGCCATCCTAAATGAGCCTAAACCAGTCAGATGACTTCTAGATGTGCATATGAACCATGAAAGAGTAAGAAAAGAGTATTGCAACCAAGCCCAGCATAAACCATGAAACTATAAGTTCATGAGCAAAATAAGTGCTTATTTTAAGACACTGAACTATAGATCTATAGATGGGTTGTTAAGAAGCACTATTGTATAATAGACATATGACACAAATGAATACTTCAGGTCAAAGTTTGAAAATATGTGTAAAACATAATACAGACACACAAATGAATTTTATCTTAAAAGATTCCTCATACATATCTATTTTGAGGATGATTACATCCTGTAAGAAAGAGACCCTTCCCGAGAGCCTGCAGGTCCAATGTTCTAGAAGCATAGAAGGACATCTAAGTAAAATCTAAGCCAGAGACAAACTGAAACAACAGATAAACCAACCTGCACAAGTTCCCCAGGGCATCTAAAAATTATCTTCTTCTGTTTTTTCTAGAAGATGCAGAAGCAAATGTTTGCCTTTTCCACCTCGCATTTTTCAGAAATGCATGTGCTACACCCTACTCTATATATCAAAACTGTTTCATAGCATTCAACATGTGATATTATGGTAAGAGAAAGAGTATTATATTCTGTTTCTTATTGGTCCATGTTTCACCATACAGTCGCTTTTTGACTCCCTTGGCAGGACTTTCCCAAGATGAACATTAATGGACTTGACCATTCAACTGGTATTCTAGCATATAGCTGGGCAGTGGTTGTGTTACCTGGATTAACTTGAGCTTTTGCAGAACTTAAGATAGGCAGCAGCAGGAGCAGCACCAAAGGCATTCTGGGAACCAAGATCATCTCAGAAGGTGGTATTGGGTTCTGCAGTAAAGAAACAGAAAAAGGAGGAAAAAATGAGTGAACATAATTATCACAGCTAATGTTGTGTTCTTGCAGTCTCTATTTCTATATTTAGAACTTCAAATTATAGACTTATGAGTTGAATCCAACTAATCATCCAGTAATCACCTAATATAAAAATTTTCAAACTCCAAATGATCATACACTTAACAGAATTAAAATTGGAAAAACTATGGTCAGGTGATAACATTTTACTAAGATAAGGGCAAACAATAAAATGAAACATATTTCTGGGGTTGTCAACTCATGTTTTCATAATTTCAATGTTGATTCCAATATTAAACAAGGAGAAACATTCAATAATTTTCATGTGTTTGCCTTTCAAAACGTGTAAGTTCCTGATTCATTAGCTCAGAAGTGTTAACTGGGATTGTATTTTTCTAGTTTCCTCAGAATGACCATGTGATAATGGATTAGATATGGAGATACCAGTACAAACTCAGGTTTAAAGAGATACAGATAGTTACATATGGAAATATTTATAGGTATTTGTGTATACACAAGTTAATGTGTGTGTGTGTGTGTATATATATATATATATATATATATATATATATACACACACTCTCTGCTCTATTAGCTGAGAGGAATTAAAGTAAATGACATCCTAGTAATGAGTATCCAGGAAACAACAAAAGCAAATCTAGTGCTTAAATCTTGGTTTCTGATACCATTATCCAATAAAAGGAATCAGTGTTCCTTAGAAAAATGGCTGATCCTAGAACTAGGACAGGAATTAGTCAAGATCTCTTATCTCTTAGTGCCAGAAACTGAGAAAGTATACACACACACACAAAAATGATTAAAGTATATCAAAAAGTCAGAAGCCAAATGAAAGATTTCCCAATAGTCCAGTTGGAATAAAAATAAATATCCATGAGTTAATGGTGATGTAAATAAATGATTAAATTAAGCAAATGTGGGAGAATTTGCATTTCCCATGAAAAAGAATTCCAAATAATTTATATAGTTAATCTACATTTAAGGAGTGGAGCATAGCTACATCCTCCCCTTTAAATGTAAGCTGCAGATGGTTACTTTTTTTTTCTTCCAAAGGGCGCAGGGTGGAAAAAAGAATAACTTTTCAGTGTATAAATCTAACAAACATTACTTCAAGCCAGGTGTTCAGAGACAATATCAACAATGGTGAGTCATATTGCTAGTATGTGTTCTTGACATGATATGACAAGAATGGCACTTGACTCTGTGTTCTTCCTCCCTAGAGACCATTACCACAGTCTATGCATGAGAAAAACATTAGACAAATCCCAAATGAGGGATATTCTACAAAATTCCTGATGAGTAATCCTCAAAACTGTCAAGGTCATCAAAAGCAAGAAAGTCTCAGAAACTTTTACAGCTAAGGGAGCCTGAGGAGACAAGATTAAATGTAATGTAATGCAATATGTGATATCCTGGATGGAATCCCAGAACAGAGAAAAGACATTAGGAAAAACTGAGGAATTGGAATAAGTTATGGACATTAGTTAACAATAAAGTATCCACATCAAATCACTCATTTTGACAAATGTACTATACTAATATAAGATGTTAATGATGGAGAAAGCTGAATGTGGGGTATACAGGAATTCTGTGTCCTATCTTTACAATGATTCTATAAATATATAACTGTTCTCAAATAAAATGCTTATTTTTTTAAAAAAATTATCCCCTAAGTAACATTGATATTCAATCATACATTGGATTCACTGTTAGAAATCGAAGGTGCAACAAAATTGTAAAAGTTTCAGAAATCCCTTTGAACTGAACTGATTAGGGAAGATTTCATGGAGAAATCAGTAACTGAAGGACAGGTTGGATTATAATGGGGATTAAGTAAAAAAAGAAAATGGAATAGATAAGGATAAGGTATATTTTCAGCCTACAGAATTTTTCTATGATGATTTCTAGACAATAGAATGATGACCCATCCAAAGTAGTAAATTAAAAACAAATTTAAAAAGTCAGATATTCAAATGATTTTGTTTGAAAACAATGGTGCCAAAGCAAATGGAACTCAGAAGATAAATGTGGCCCTGGTATGGGGCAGGGAATAAGTGGTCCACAGACTATAAAGACTAATAAACTGGGTTTCATTTCATTGTTTTGGATGTAATAAATAGGTGATTCAGTGTGCCTTGCCACTTCCAACAGCAGGAATGCTATTTCCATAAATGTGTCCCCAAATATGCTCAGAAAAGAAAATACATAGGCAGGTCTAGTAGACATTGATCTGGGTTATAATCTAGCACTAGCTCAGGACCATGATATAAGATGTTCTTCCATAAAGTCCTAAGCTCATATAAGTAATCTTTTAGTTAGTGCTGAGTCTCAGAACTGCCTTGTCTAACCATATTCTTTTGTAGAAGAGTCCTACAATTCTCTACAATTCAGTAAATTAAAACATTAAAAAAAGGTATCAGGGAAGAATGGAGAGAGATTGATCAGTGGGTACAAAGTTACAGGTAGATAGAAGCAAGAAGATCTAGTGTGCTATTGCACATTGGCTGATAGGCTACAATAATGTACTGTACATTTCAATAAGCTAGAAAAAAAGAATTTTGAAGTTTTTCCCCATAAAGAAATGGCAAATGTTTAAGGACATAGAAAAGTTGTCCTATTAATATGTACAATTTTCATGATTTTTTTCTGTGTCAGTTTAATATAAATGAAAACAAAAATGAAAAAAATATTTTAAAATGTGAAAAAAAGAAAGGTATGTATATGTGTAGCAAAGAAAAGAAAATTGAGAAATGTGATAGAGAGTGATTGAGAGCTATTCCAAGGTGGCCAGCAAAGGTCTTTCTGGGTATATGACTGACTGAGAAGTGGTTGAGCAGAACAAAGAAGAGAATAGGAAACCCAGAAAAACTTCATGAATAAATGAGAATTTATTATAGAATAAAAGGGATAATTAAAATCAGTGAAATTTTAGAGGATTTATTAGGCTTTTTAAAAGCAAATAAAGGTACATCAGCCCACACACAAAAACAGAGTCCAAAATATAAAAATAGTACTACAAAAATATTTCAATAAAACATGGGAGAATTTGCAATAAACTAAAAATTTTAAAAAGACCTGCAAAAATAAGACATTGAATGCAAAATTCATAAATGAAAAGAAGAATAATTTTTCCATCAAAATTTGAAATTTCATTGAGACAAAAAGACATCATAATTTATCATACAAGCAACAAACAACATTAAATATTTGAAATTGTATAACAAAATAGCTTCTTACATAAATTATCTCTATAAATAATTTTAAGAGCCACCAGAAAATGGGCCAAATAAACAAAAAAAAAACATTTTTACCAAAGGAGACAATATAATGCAGTAAATACCTAAAAGTGTTCAATCTCCCTAGCAGTCAGAAAAACAACCATTAAAGCATGAATTAAATACCAGTCTTGACCATCAGATTGGCAGTTTCAAGTATAATATCTCACATTATTGATAATTGTCAATAATGTGGGGAAGTGCATACTTCCATGTTCTGCCATTGGGTATATAGACAATAATTTAAATAAAATGCATAAACATATCATCTATACACACTATTTATTATTGCTTAAACTAGAAAGAGACTCTGTGTACACAATGAGGCATGTGCAAAGAAGTGTTTTGTCACTTTTTTAAATAACAAAAATGGGGGAAATGCCTATTAATAATAGAATGCTATAAACTATGATATATTCCCACTGTGAAATACTATGGAATAGTGAAAAAGAATGTATTAAAGCTGTATGTGGTTTCATGGTTTGACATCCATGACATATTTTAGGTGAACAAGCAGAATGCAAGTTTTATGTGAAACACTTTTATGTATTTTTATGAATACACACAGAATTATATGTACTTAGAAGATATGAAAATTAAACACCATGCTGAAAGCAATGGTTCCCTCAAAAATGTAGTTGGGAAATGAACTGCAGCATTTGGCACCGGAGATGGTGAATGGTAATCAGAAGAGATCAGTCTTATTTGTAATGTTTTGATTTTTAACAAGGAAAATGCAATTCTTGTTTAGTATCATTTATATCAGTTTTTCTGACAAAAATAAGAAAGAATTATTCCTGGGAGCAGGCTATCATAATCTCAAGAGTGCTTTCCAAACAACTCTGTATATTGCAGAGTTGAAGGAGATATTGTGGTGGGGGAACATACACCTTAAGTCATTTGTAGTATGGAGAAGTGGGGGTATTAATTAATACATCTAGCATGTGGATAGACTGAAAGCATAAAACAGTTGAGATGACTGATTATGTTTTCTATTTTAGAATGCTTTGTACTTATTAGGTAAATTAAACTGCATTATGTCATTGAGCCTCAATTACTAACCCCCTTTTACAAAGTAGGAAAGTAAAATCACTTCATGGACAAGTGAGGCAGTTTTGCTTGGTCTGGCTGCTGCTTCCTATTCATTGTGCTGACTATAGTTAGCTTCTTCACTATAGAAAAGACAGACTATGAGTTATTTAAAATCAGGGATCTAGCTTATCTCTATATCAAAATGAGATTAATTTTTATTTGCCTGGGTCATAAAGCTAGAAAGAGGCCTGGTTAGCATTGATTCCAGTTCCTCTGACCCCAGAGGTCAGTTTTTCTACTTCCACAAAATTTCCAAGGTGGCTCAGAGAGAATATGTACTTTGTAGTAAAGAACTCCCTTTCCTCTTCCATCAAAACCCTCTTCCTTTGCCAAGCTGGATGAACACTCCAAATTGACTCCAAAGGAAGCCATGGCCCAGGACCTCCCATAAACTTTACAAGACCTGATGGAAGATGGTTGACTCTTCACGTTGGGACTGCCCATGCCAGAATCTGGACAGACCATGGTCATAGCTGTCAGAACACAAGGAAGTAAAATGGAAGATCAGGCAAAACAGTGTGGCAGCCACACCTGGAATTTAGCAGCTCTCCAGGAATAAAAGAAACAACCAAAGAAACAAATTGTCTGTGA